CAGGGTGAGCAGCCCGAAGACTCACTCAGTTCCACACCTTCCCTCTGCCCACGCCCCACCCTCATGGCCATGCCCACCCCCATGCAGGCGGAGCCAGAAGGATGGCACATTCCAGATCTCCCTCCCTGGGCCTTAGCCCTCATGCTGGGGCCCACGGGCCTGCTCACCCCTGCCCTCCCCCTCTCCCCCCCCCCCCCCCCTGTGCTGCCGACTCCCACAGCCCCCTACTTTTCCTCTCCATGAAGCTCCCATTTGGCCCTGTCACTTCACACTCTTGGGGCCTTCATGGCTCTGTGAGTTCCCGGGCTTCTGTCCGAAGGCTCTGAGAGACCTCTGGCACCCCTGAATGACGGGTCCGGGTCGCCACAAATACGGGGAAGGCGGTGTGTCCAAAGGTGACCGCCCACCGCCCTGAGCTGAGGGCAAGGGCAGCAGGCCTGGGAAGTCTTCCTGGGGAGATGGAGAAAAACTGGCTCCCTCCCTGACAGCTACAGCAACCCTCGCCCACCCCCTGCCGTGCCAATAATCTCCATGCTGGCATGGTCCTCTCACCCACTCGCCACACCCCTAGCGAGCTCACCTAACGGCTTCTCCTTCACCTTCACCCACTGGGAGAAAGAAGCAAGGCTGACCTTCCCAAGGAGCAAATGCATTCCCGGTCTTCAGACCGAGGATCTGAAGATCTTGATCCCTGCCCCTCCCACAGCTCATTCCCCTCCACCCCAGGGCGGAGACCACAGAGGCAGGGCTGCCACACGGACCTGCCTCCTCGAAGGGCTGACGTGAGCTGGGAAAGGGGTAGCGAGGGCTGGGAGGGGCCTTGCTGGCAGCTCCTCAGAAAGAAGAAGAGACCTGCTGAGTTCAAGAACCATACGAGGAAGACAAGGAAAGGAAGAGCTTGAAGACTCCTTCTGATCTGGCTCCGTTTTCTCTCTCTCACTACAGTTGGACACGTGGCAGAGGCCTCGGTTGGGAAGGCTAGAGCTGAGGGTGGTGACCCAGTTCTGGACTGGGGGAGCAGGGAGCGTGAGGGGAGGTGGTGGTGGCTGATGGCGAGAACATGGATCCAAGCCCCTTGGCGACATTGAAAATATGGAGCCCCTTCTCTTCCTGGCCCCCCCGGGCTATCCTTCAGACAGCCGTGCCATGCCGCGCTGTCGGAGACCCTGTAATATCAACTCAACAATGCATGTTCTACAACTACGGCTACAGCTACCAGGACATCGACTACAGTGCATGCATTTAGTTCAGTCCCACAGATACATACACTCTAAGAACAGGCAGGGGGGTGTGAAATGTTTTACTGGACAACAGGTGTTTTGGAGTTGTAACTAATAAAAAAAAAAAAATCAAAAACGAAAGTACAAAAAAAAAAAAAAAAGACATTTCTCGAGAGTTGGATATGAATTTGTTTCTTGAACTGTTTCATCTGAACAAGCAAAAACATGCAAACCAGCTGGTACTAACAGGAAGCTGGACACTGAGAGAGGATTAATAGGTGTGGACAAACCTTCCCGCTGAGCGTGCTCAGAAGAGTGTTTGAGAGGAGGTGTGCAGATCCTAGTGTAAGAGAGGCGGGAAAGTATGCCTCAGAGACACTCTCACCGCAGCCCCAACCAAGCAAGAGAAAAGACAACAGAAACGTGACTCTCACACTCACCACTGTCAGGAGCTCATGTTTCTACATTGGGATAAAGCTGGCAAGTATAAAGCACAGTAAGGGGTCCTGGCTGGTGGGCTGGGGAGAGGAGGGGGCTCCAAAGCTCTAAGACTGATCCACAGGCCCACCCGTGACGCCACCCCGAAATGAAATAGCCTCCGAACCACTTCCCTCGCCCATGGGGGTGGGGGTGGGGGGGGATCGTTTGCAAATAGGATTGAGGTTTGAGTGGGACATGATGGGGCCACTGGAACTGAATGAACACGATCAAAATAAACAAACAAACTCTTGACTGAGCACAAGAAAAGATGACATTTCAAACCACCGGGTGAAGAGAAAAGAAAGGTGACCACTGATAGTGAAGTTATCTAGGAGTCGGCAGGGACCTCCCCGGGTGGGGTCCCCTGAGCCCTGCTCCCCTCAGGCCCTGGGTGAATTAGGCAAAGGCGGGCAGGCCGGCCCGGAGGGGCTGGCTGAGGTGGGCGCAGAGCTCAAGGCCCCCTGGACCTCCTACCCTGACACCAAAGCCCTCACCGGTTCGAGTTGCCAACCTGAGCCCAAGGGAAGCTGCTTCCTACCCCCACGGTCTCGGCAGGTGCTTCCGCCTCAGGAAGCTCCTCCCCTTGGTCCTAATAAAAGAAAAAGCCCAAACAAAACTGGGGGGCTAGACAAAAAAGCAAAGACGAACATAGGGGATGCCTGGTCCTTACCCCATGCCCCGAGAGCCCTGGCTTTTTTAGTCATCGGCTAGTCCAGCACGGCACCAAGCTCAAGGTCGGTGCCCCAAAGCGTCTCCCGGAACCAGCTTCTGTGCGAGGGGTGCAGCTGAACTGCGACTCCCTCGCTAGGCCGAGGCTGCTGGTGCCGGCTCAGGAGGCTGAGGGAGCACCCCTGCCCCTGGGGAGGAGCTGGGCTGCGGTGCAGGGTGGCAGGCATGGGTGAAGGTAGATCCTGACAATCAGTCCTCAGGGAGGATGTGCAGACCCCAACAAGGCTGTGTGGCCCTCTCACCTGTGCCCAAGTGCCACGGAGGGGCCACTGCAGATAGGCAGGTCGTGGGCCGGTCTGCCAGGCTCCGAGTTTAGATCTTTTTCTTTCTTTCTTTTTTTTTTTTTTTTAAGAGGGAGGGGTAGTCCTTACAGGCCAACAGGCACTGACAGAAAGCAAGGCAGAGCTCTTCCTTCCCCAGCCCTGTAACCCTGCGCCCGGCCCACAGGAAGGCAGGGGGTGGGCCTCCCTGTCTATACACGGGCAGGTGCCCTCCGCTGGGGACTGTTCTGATCCGGCGGGCACAGGCTAGCCAGGCCCCTTGGACACAGCCCAGGCCCCCAACCCCAGGCAGCACTGCGGGGGTGCCTGTAGCTTCCTGGCGACACCTCGGAGTTGAGGATTTACTCCTGGCTCTACCAGGCTGGTGTGGGGCAGTGGTCGGGGCACACACTCCTGAATAGAGTTCACTAACAGTGCAGCGATGAGCATGGCTGACCTAGGATGGCCTGCGGGAGACTGCGTTTCCAATGGAAATGGCCACAAATAAAACACCACTGAGCCCGAGAAAACAAAAGGTGTGGCTGGAGATGGCTCTGACCTGGGGGTTGAGAGTTAGAGGGGGTGGGTGGGACTCCCGCCTGGCTCTGGGTCTGTGGCAGGTGAGGGTGGCGGAGGGGGGCCCGGACCACGGGGAGGCCACTCTGACTCACAGAGAACCCCATGCTGCCCTTTAAACTTGCCATGAGGTCGGGGAGGATGGGGTAGGGAGAGAGGCAGGGTTAATTTTGGGTTAAAGTTTAGTTTCATAATCCAAGTCATATAATAAGAAAGAAACTGAACGGAGAAAACAAAACCAACAACACTCAAAAATCTCGTTTCCTTTTGCTCGTCCCCCCCGCCAGGCACCGCAAGGTAGGGCAGAGGCTCGCCCCTAAAGACATGAATTAAAAATCCAAACAGAACGGGGTGGGTGGGTGGGTGGGGGGGGGACTCGAGGAAGCTGTGCCCCCACCCCAGGACAGGGGGCGCCCAGGGGCGCTGGTCAGAGGGCCGGATGCTCAGGGAGGGCACCCCGCTCTCCGCACCTGCCGGCCAGTCTGCCCAGCTCCCTGGCAAACTGCCCTCTGCGCCCCGGGAACAGCCTGGCCCCTCCACATAAATCCCCAGGGGGGCGATTCCCAGGAGCGGATCCTTTGTAGCTCGAGGCAGTGCCAGTTTGCATGGAACGGATTTTCACTGAGGTTTCTACTGGGCCTCGCTGTGCCAGTGTCTTGTCCCAGAGGTTCGGGCTTTTGGCATTTGCCCTCCGGGCCTTTAATGCCCCACTTCCTGGTGCCCTCGCCAGCACCTCCCTCCCCGCCCTCCTGGGAGCCCTGTTACACCAAACGGGATGGTCCCCCTGGATGCTCCAGAGCCCGGTCCACGGGGTGTGGGGGGAGCTGCAAACCACGGTTCAGGGGGAGCGGGGGCTCTGGGTGCCCAAGGGGGAGGCCAGGAGCCTCGTGGGGAGCCCAGAGCACAGCAGAAGCCCCGCCTGCGTAGGAAGGCAGTGAGCGTCTGGGCATCTGGGGAGAGGACCCAAGGCCCTCCTGGGGCCTGGACGTACCCACAGCGCCCCTGGGAAAAAGTTCCCACGTCCCCTTGAGGGATCCCAGACCTCCTGAAAGGCCGGCTTTGGAGACCAAAAGACCGGGGCAAATTCCTGGCGGGAAAACCCCGCTTCCCTTGGCAGCCGGAGTCCGGAGGCTCTCTCGTCTCTGCTAAGAGTGTCTGGGCGGCAGCCGGAGTCCAGGAATTGCAGCTGGTTCGCTGAGGTCAGGGCTGCCCCCAGTTTGGCCTTCGGGAGCTCTGGCCTTTAGCCCGGGCAGCAGGCCCACCTGCCGGGGGCAGCAGGACTGAGTGGACTGGTTGCTCCGAGGCTGAGCCTCCCGGTGCCAACCCAGGCCTCCGGCTGGGTCAGAGACCCGGGGAAAGGAGCCTTGCGAACCAGCAAAAGCCGAGGGGAATGCCCGCAGCGCCCCGAAGCCGGCTGTCAGGTGAAGGGGCTGTCCAAAGCCCAGGAGCAACTCGTTTCTCTCTCTTTTCTTTTCTTTTCTTTCTTTTTTTTTTCTTTCTTTTTTTTTTTTTTTTGCAATGACAGGATAACAATCTACCTTTGGTTTGCAGTCCCTGACCGCGCCCGGCTGGGAGGTGCCCTGGGTGGCGGGGCCTGGCCCGAGCCTCCCGTCCCGCCCTCCGGGCTGTGGTGAGAGTCGGGGACAGCCGCAGCCACACAGATCCGACAGGGCCTTTACCTTCCCCCGCACACTGGGGCATGCCTGGCAGCCGCCTGTCCCGTACGCCTTCCTACCTGATCCTCTGGCCGCCGCCACCGCCGCCGCCGCCACTGGTCCGTAAGCCGCTGCTGGGAAGCCTGGCGGAGAGAGAGGCGCTGGAGTCAGGGGGGCTTGGGGGGTCCTCGCAGGGGCCGCAGGCAGCCCTGCCTCGTCTCCCAGGCCCCTCTCCCCTGCCCCCCACACAAAGGACGGGCCGGCTTCTAGGGGGACACAGGTCAGTGGCTTCTCAGGCTTCTGGAAGGCACAGCAGCTGCAGGTGTGTCAGATGCTCATCACCGGTCACCCCGGAGGCGGCACAGTGAGCTCCCTGCCACCGCTGCACCGACCCCTGGCCGTCCCCAGGCTCGGCCAGAGCAGGACCAGGCATGGCTGGGCTGCCTGTGGGGAGCGTCTGCCCTGAGCCCCAGGCGGGAGGCCCTCAGGAAGGAACAGACACAAGGATAGGCACCTTGGCTAGGAGTCAGGCTTAACTCTGTTTCCCGAAGGCTCTGCTGGTTTGCTGGGCCGTCTAAACGCCAGGCTTGGTCATGTCAGCAGTATGGCTGCCCCAGGCCTCAGTGGGGAGGATTATGGGGTCCGGCTGACTGCGTGCACGTGAAGCCCACGGTGGGAGGGAGCGTGGGGCCCCGGGACACATGCGGAGGGAGCCCCGTGGCTTTCTCTCTCTCAGTGGCTCAACCTCGGAGGCAGATCAGCACTGCGGGGTCTCCTGGGGTTTCGATCCAGTCCTGCGCGTCCTAGAAACTTCTTGTTGGAGGCTTATGCTATCGAGTACTGTGCCGGGAAGCCAGGCGAGCCCAGCGATGGGACTAAAAGGACAAGGTGACCCAGGGTGGCGGCAGAACGTCCAGGGGAGGGAGGCGGTGGGCCTGTCCCCTCCCCTGGGCGTCCCTTGGCCACTGGACCGTGCACACAGCCGGGCACCGGGACACACGCGGACATACTCCCACACACGTGGCACAAACGGCCTCTCCATCCAGGCAGACACGTGGAGGCCTGATTCCAAGCCCCATTCCCAGTGCCGGGTTTTAAGGGATGTGCCAGAGGCGGCAGCACGGAGCACACAGCCCCGCAGAGCTGCTGGGCGTGGGCCACAGAGCCGACCAGGGAGGCGTCTGCACAGGACTGAGGGGCAGACATGCACCACGGGCGGCAGGGAGCGGGGAGGACAGGAAGGAGAGAGGAGCCATCCCCAGACAGAGAACTAGAAGCCCACTAAACTCTAAGACTACCAGCCTAGCTACACGGAACTACTGAGGGGGGAGAGAAGTTCAAACGGAACGAGCTACTCTAGGAAGGTCAGGCTAAGCTACTGCAAACGCCAATGAAAAGAAACATACTTGCATTTAAATATGGTAATAGGGCTGTTGAAGGGGGAAAAAGAAAGATCCAGGTGAAGTCAGTGTACACACGCAGGCGGACCCTGCGGCCGGACTGGGTCTCCAGCTCCTGTGGGGACCCCGGCGCCCGCCTGGAGGCTGCTCCCTCCCCCTGCCAGCACCAAGGAAGGGGTCCCCCACCATGGCCTCTCCCCACTTCTTCCGGGCAGGATCTACATTTCTGAAGATGTGGGTGCTGGCGAACATGCTGAAGGAAAATAAGGAGGAAGTCAGGTTATTTCTCCCTGCCCCAATTCTCAGACCGCCAGGTCCCTGCAGGCAGAGAGCATGGACCGGAGGAGGAGGAGGAAGAAGAGGAGGAGGAAAAGGAGGAGGGAGAGGAGGAGGAGGAAGAAGAGAAGGAAGATGAGAAAGAGGAGGAGTAGGAGGGGGAGAAGAGGAGGAGGAAGAAGAGGAAGAGAAGGTAGATGAGGAGGAAGAGGAGGAGGAGGAAGAGGAGGCAGGCACTGAGAGCAGCAAGGCCCTGCTATTCTTGCACTCTCTCAGGAAGCAGGTTTCCTTGGAAGTGTGACAAGGTGGTGGAGGTAGGGGGATGGGGGGGGGGGACAGGGAGGCAGGACTGGGGGAGGGGAGTTCAATCAATAAAAAGACTTAACCAAAAGTCTATTTTCTGGAGTTGAGTGCATTTTGGATGAAAAGTCCAGGAGAAAGAGGAAGGGAAAAAAATATCCAGGGAAATCCATTATCCTTAATCTCAGATAAAGGCTGCTGGAGACTGAGCATCACATGGCTGAGGGCTGGAATTTAATCTCCATCAGAACAGGCTGAACGGAGTGACAGGTGCGAGGAGGGGCTGGGAGAGGAGGGCCACCCAGTCTGCCCTGTACAGGGAGCGGGCCCGCAGCTCTCTCTGCACAGGGCCGTGGCCCCACCACACAGCGTCCTCCCGGCCCCTCCCCGGGCTCCCTGCCATCCACCTCCAGCCTCACTGTCACCCTCTACCCAGCCATCGGCCCTGCCTCCGAGACAGGATTCGCCCCCGGGCAGCGCTGTTCCACCTTCTCCACGCTGGGCCATGCGGCCGGGAGGTCGCAAACATACTGGGGGCCTTGAATTCCTTACTGATGACAGGAATTCCTTACTGATCCCGTCCCAACGCCATGATGTCATTTTATTTTTTTAATTTTATATTTTACTGATTTTTTTACAGAGAGAAAGATCAATGAGAGAGAATTATCGATTAGCTGCCTCTTGCACACCCCCTGCTGGGGATGTGCCCACAAGCAAGGTACATGCCCTTGACCGGAATCGAACCCGGGACCTTTCAGTCCACAGGCCGACGCTCTATCCACTGAGCCAAACCGGTTTTGGCCATGATGTCATTGTAGTGGGGCTCACTTGCCAAAACTCAAATGAGAACGTGCCATCTTCTGCTCGGCTCTAAGGACAAGGGGGCCAAGCGGCTGGCACGGCCCTGGTCGTCTGAGCTTCCCATGTCTTAGCAATAGATCAGGCAGAGAAGGAGAAAAGCATTTTGCTGAAAAGAATCTCAGGGCCTCGGTGCTCTAGGTTGCCTACCGGGGAACTCGGGTATTAGGAACGTAGCGTCTCCTATTCGGGTACCTGGCATTGGAAAAGAAAATGCCTGATACACAGGAGTGAAGCACTGATGGTGGGATTCCAGTCAGACCCTGTTCGATCCGGTAGCTTGGAGCTGCTCTGCCCCTCAGGCGGGGGACAAAGTAACAGAAGGCTCTCTGGGCTTGGCCTCAAAGCCCGCTCCAGCCACGGCTGCCCCGCCTCGCTGGGTGACGTGGGTGTCACCTCTCCGGGCCCTGAGTAACCGACTCCTTTTTCCTGCAGGGAGGGGGGCTTGCCTTGGCTGGCGTGGCTCAGCGTGAGGGGCTGCAAAGGGGTGGGAATGGACACAGTTGAATGCTACGTTTTTGGAGTGAGAGGACCAGAACAGGGGGCGGGAAGAGGGACAATTGATAACCAAAGCTACACATTTACATGATCAAACTGAAGAAAACCCCACCCCGAGTTCCTGGCTTTCAAAAGAGAAATCCGACTTCTACGCTGTTTTGGAAGCAAGCCTGACGCTCACCGAGGACACAGACAGCGCCATTCCCAGGGAGGCCCCGGGCAGAGGAGAGAGCTGGGGACGAGGTGCAGAGAGCGTGGGGGGCAGTGCCGGGCCCTCTGCTGGAGCCTGGCTAATGCCGGCCGGAGAGGGAGGCGGAGAGGCCAGTGAGGCGGCCAGGCCTGCCTGGGCCAGGGGAGGGTTACCTGGGTCCTCCCTGTTACTTAAGGGGAGCTGCGAGGTTCTGGGGCCAAGAGCCCAAGGGTGCTGGCACCTACAGCAGGGGGATGGCACAGAAACAGCCCCAGATACTTCTCAATGCAACTGCTGTCTGGCTTAATTTTTAAATAACATGTATTTCTTTGGACATTCAGATGGAGATAAAGGGAAGGTGCACTGTTACAAAAGCTTTGCGAGGTTTAACCTTCTGTCGCCAGAGAGCTTCTGTTTGGATGAAAGGGGTCTTAGAAGCTAGAAGAGGAAGCCAGGGGCCACCCTTTGAAAACCAAGGGAAGTTCCCAGAAGAGGCAAGTGCAGACCATGGGTGCAGGGCCAGGCAGGAAGGTGTGCGCTTGCCCAGATCCCTTCCGGCTCGGAGGCACTAGGGTGCAAAACAGGGTGCCGGCTGCCACTGAGCTCGGAGGCCCAGAGTGGGTGAGGCCCGGCAGGGCCCCGTGTTGCTCCTCCGTAAACCCGTTAGGGACGCCTCCTGGCCGAGCTGCTGCGAGATTCGGCGAGAGGATGGCGCCGGGTGCTCGGCACGGTAATCTGGCACTCAGTAATGGCTTAGTAAGTGGGATGATAACTTTTATTTCTATTTTTATTATTATTGCTCAAGGTAATAACAGTAGCGGAGCTGAGGACTCCCTTCGGTGCCTTCCTATTCTAAAACCCTATTAATTTACATGACATTTCACATCCAAAGTGCTTTAATAGATAACGTTTACAATTCGCTGGTGAGTGATAAGGGTGTGTTTTACCCGCAGCGCAAGCTCTAAGTCTGGTGGGGCAATGTGATGGCAGGAGGCTCGAGGCTCCCGGGGGCTCAGGGAGGGCCTGGCTGGGGCGGCCACGGCCCTGGGCGTGGTGAGCACAGGTGCGGACGTGGATCCCAGAGCCCAGGTGTTTGTGCTCGGCAGCTGGGCCGGTGAGCTCCGAGGCCCTCTTGTCCCCTCTTGTCCTGACACGTGCCCCCGGGCTCCTAGCAAGGGCCTGGCCACAGGAGCCCTGGGGGTCCTCCCATCCAGGCGGGGCCCTGCTTGCTCCTCTGCAGACAGGCGCCCTGGTTCACCGCTATGTTCCCAGCAGCGAGGGCAGGGCCTGTGGCAGAGCAGGTGCTGAACAACCAGGTGCTCCATGAGTAAAGGATGGATGGGTGGAAGCGGACGAATAGATGCAAGGGGGGTGGGGCACGAAGGGGCTCTTCCTATGCGTGGCCTTACCTGGATACCAGCGCACGCAAGGCCAGTAGCAGAGGTTAGATGGAGGAAGTCTAGAGGGGCCTTAAGCGAGTGCCACTCAGAGCTGAGGCAGTGACCCTGCTGGGTAGGGTCGCTGGGGGAAAGGGATCCAGGTCCATCTGGACACAGGGACGAGGAGGGAGACCTTCTGGTCTGTCCGTAGCTGTTTGTCCTCCGGCGTAAGCTGCGCAGCC